TTTGTTGTTTGATTTATCATCTACGGGTTTATGTCGAATTAATTTGATGGCCTGCTCCCAGTTGGCTTGTTAGCTCAATTGGTAGAGCGCTGCACTAGTATCGCAGAGGTCAGTGGTTCGAATCCCGTACAGGCCTGAATTTTTTTCAGGTCTGATTTTCACTATTGCTTAAATAGTGCTTTACTGCGAAGGATCGTGCACATATACGTTTCATAACCGCAGTTCATATATATGTATTTCATATGTTTGTTGTTTGATTTATCATCTACGGGTTTATGTCGAATTAATTTGATGGCCTGCTCCCAGTTGGCTTGTTAGCTCAATTGGTAGAGCGCTGCACTAGTATCGCAGAGGTCAGTGGTTCGAATCCCGTACAGGCCTGAATTTTTTTCAGGTCTGATTTTCACTATTGCTTAAATAGTGCTTTACTGCGAAGGATCGTGCACATATACGTTTCATAACCGCAGTTCATATATATGTATTTCATATGTTTGTTGTTTGATTTATCATCTACGGGTTTATGTCGAATTAATTTGATGGCCTGCTCCCAGTTGGCTTGTTAGCTCAATTGGTAGAGCGCTGCACTAGTATCGCAGAGGTCAGTGGTTCGAATCCCGTACAGGCCTGAATTTTTTTCAGGTCTGATTTTCACTATTGCTTAAATAGTGCTTTACTGCGAAGGATCGTGCACATATATGTTTCATAACCGCAGTTCATATATATGTATTTCATATATATTTGTTGTTTAAAAAAGAAAGCGTCCTAGACACTGAAAATTTTGACCAAAAGTACCATAGTACCCCTTTGGTAAAAATCCAAGATGGCGGAAATGAAAAAACGGTGCCTTAACCCTAACCAAATGTAACCTTTAACCCATTCCTGCTAAAGCCATGGAATGTGTCACACTGTTGGGCATTGCATTGATGTACTTTTGTGATTAATATGAGTATATTGCATTAGGGAATGACAGAGTTGCAATCTTTGGAACTGTGACAATCTACATTTTGAAAGACTGAAATCCCTAAGTTAGCGTTTAGGTGTTTAGAACCATTTGTACACCAAAAACAGTACTTCTCAGACAATAGTAGCCCTTTTTAATCAAACAATAAGAAAGCGTTTTAGACACTGAAAATTTTCACCAAAAGCACCCTGCTACCCCTTTGGAAAAAAACTCAAGATAGCGGAGATGAAAAGAGGGTCCCTGAACCCTAACCCCATCTAACTTTTGACCTCCTCATGCTTAAGGCATTACATTTCTCACAGTACTGGTTATTGGATTCAACTAGTTTGGTATAAATCAAGAAGATATTTAATGCGGAAGCGACAGAGTTATAGGGGCTGGAAGATTGCGAGGGGATATGAACCATCCCCGAGGGGATATGAACCAAGGGGGTAGGTTAGCCCTGACCCCATCTCTCTTTTAAACCATTCCTGCTTAAGCCATGAAATTTATTTCCCCATTACACATTTATTTGAACTAATTTGGTGTTAAGTATTACCTTATTTCATTTAGAATTAAGAGAGTTGTAGTGGTTAGGAGGAGGTGGAAAAAAAGATAACGGGCGGAGGTAAGCCAAACTCATTTTAAGGCTTAAAAACCACTTTTAAAGCGCTAAAAACTCTGTTTAGGGCACTACTCAACCAACAGCAAGAGTTCGAGAGAAACTTGAAATGTTTACAAAGATGGCCATGTTACCCCCTATGGAAAAAAATCCCAGATGGCTGAAATGAAAAGAGGTAGGTTAACCCTAACCCCAACCCTAAACCTTAACCCTAACCCTGACCCTAACTCTAAACCCTAATGTTNTTCCGTTATTGGAGAGCGAAGGACTGTTTGCTTGTTTGTGATAACTCTGTATGTGAATCTTGTCAAGAATACTTAATCTCTACAAGTAGTTGTCGAAAAGCCAAAGAACGACGGCAGTCAAGACCTGCTCATGTTAATGCTCCAATATCTAAGACTGACCCAGAAAGAATCAAACTCACTCTGCAGGGGCAACGATTGAGATGTGCAGAACTTGAGAGACAGCTGAATGAGATGCGTGTAGAACTTGAGAAAACTAACATTGAAGTAGATCATGAATTAAGTAATGACTTTTCCAAGATTCTTAATTCAGCTAATGATGCAGAAATTACCCCATTCATGAAACTCTTTTGGGAGCAGCAAAAGAAATTATTCTCTAGTAGCTCCAAAGGTGTAAGGTATCATCCAATGATTATTCGTTTCTGCCTATCCCTTGCAGCAAAGTCACCGTCATGCTACGAAGAACTGCGTACCAGTAAAGTGTTGATACTTCTTAGCCAAAGACGTCTAAAAGATTACCGAAATGCTATCAGGCCTCAAAGGGGATTTAATGACAAAGTTATAGAGCAACTTAAATCTCTCACAAATTCATATTTTGATGTTCAAAGGTATGTTGTACTTTTATTCGATGAAATGAAAGTGCAGTCCAACCTTGTTCTAGACAAGGATACGGGAGAACTGATTGGATTTACCGATCTTGGTGATCTTTACTTGAACTTTGCAGTTTTGGACAAGACAGATGAGATTGCTACACATGCTTTGGCATTCATTGTTCGTGGTGTGTCCACTCAGCTGAAGTTCTGTTTGGCACACTTCTCAACAAATGGTGTGACTGCTTCACAGTTGATGCCCATATTTTGGGAAGCAGTTTTTATTCTGGAAACATTTTGCAATTTGTGGGTTATTTGTACCACCTCTGATGGCGCCTCCCCGAACAGAAGGTTTTATCGATTGCACAAGTCTATGGATGGAGATGCAGACACAGATGTATGCTATCGGACTATGCTCTACCTGGTGCGATTTATTCACGAATCGCACCATTTTTTGCTCTAAATCGCATCACTTTACGCTTGATTGAGTTTTTGACACATGACGTCAAAGTCTTTCTGTTTTGCGTACAAATAAGATGTAGAAGCATTTCTGGTTCCGCTTTTTATTTAAAAACCGGCTCAGTACTGCATCAATAAAATATTTGAATTGACCAAGTCCTGTATTTGTGCGATTTCAAAATGGATGTAATAAAGTGGTAATTGAACCTCGTGTCATGCAATTTTGATCTTAAATCGTACTTGTGATTTCAAATCGAACTCACGCTGTGCGCTCGTTCGAATTTGAAATCACGCATATGATTTCAGCCCAAATTGCACTCCACTCAGTTCAAATACCATTATAAATCGAGTGTCAGATATATTTCAAACCAAAAATTTCGCCGTTAATTCACGGCTAAATCGAGTGTCAAATGTATTCCAAACGCAAAAATTTGCCGTTAATTTTTGGTAAACTTGTCGCGAGATTATTGCAAAGACATAATTTAGCGGTTAAATAACGGCTAAGTTTATTCTTTGTATAACGTATAATGACTTGGTTTGTGGTTAAGTTTTTGTTGTGTATACTGCGTTTGTTGCAAAATTCGCCGTTACCTAAACTCTCCTCTCAAGTTTGTAATATTGATGATCACATAAAAGATGTGCATTTGCCGAGATTCGCCTGAGACACCCCTCCCTTCCTTTCGATAGTTTCCCCTACCCTACCCGTGCAACCTGAAGCCACGTACGGACGCTCGATCAGTCACGTGACAACCAAACGAAAAGAGGTTTACCCTATTCCATGCGTATGGGGCTCTGCCTCACGCGCGCGAAGCGTGCGTGGGAGCCTCTCTAAAATGCTCTTCCAGTGGGTCATTTACATAAAAATTTTTTCAAAGAAACTACATTAATGCTAAGGTAGTTCTATATATTAAGAAAATTGTCGCGTTCTCAATGCCGCAGACACGTGGTGTTGTGCACCGGAGTTCGCCAGTATAACCAGTGTTAAACTTTAGACAAGTAGCAGCATCAAACTCTTTATTCACTTAAGCTGGCAGTCTTTGTACAGCACAGGTGGTAAAAACTATAGAACGGATACATGAAGGTTTGAAATAAGGAAAACCTTAAGACTACTGAACTAGAAATGATAAAAATGAGGAATTTTACAAGCGTAACTTACATCGGATCTTGAATCCGGGGTAGAGAACTCCTAAACTCCGTTCGGCTCCGAAATAGTTTCGCTACAGTGACTTCTCGCAACTGAACTACTTGCTAATAGAAGGCGAATTTAGTTCTTACACTTTGACGTAGGGGAAATAGAAATGAACAGTGCTTTGTGTAGCTAGCTTCGAGCGGATATTCGCTAGTCACGGAATAGAAATCAAACAAAGCGCGCTAACAAATTTAATAGAAAGTCATTGAAAGTTTCTTACTGTCTTTGTGCTAAGAACGGAAGAGTTACATAAGTAAAAAAGATTAGAGTTCGTATCCGTAAACGTAACACTCCTCACCGAAGGATCGTCTATGATCCTTGCTCTATTGATTGCTTGTCCTTTAATTCTCTGCCGTAGTCGAAGGGTCTGTTACTGGGCCTCTACTGGAACCAGCAGGATGAGCTCTTTGATGGGGCGTAGGAACACTTTTCCTCTACCCTCTCTCACAATCCTAGGTGACACCTTTCTTACTTTGCCATCTGCGCTCTTGATGGCCTCCATAACTCGACCCATAGGCCAGTCACTGCGATTCTGGCCGTCTTGTTCATGAGGACGACGTCGCCTGGGGCCAGGTCTCTTCGGGCGTCGTACCACTTTCTTCTTGGCTGGAGGTTCTGGAGGTACTCTCGGCGCCACCGTAACCAGAACTGATCTGCTAGGTACTGGACCCTCCTCCAGCGCCGGTTCGCGTACAGGTCGGGGGGAAGGAAGTTGCCAGGTGGTGGTCCTGGTGGGCGTGTTTTCATTGTAAGCAGCATGGCTGGTGACAGGGGCTGCGGATCGTTGATGTCTGAAGGCAAAGCTGCAATGGGTCGTGCATTTACGATAGCGGTGACTTCCGCTATGAAAGTGCTCAAGATTTCGTGCGTTAGCTGTCTTGGTCCGAGCTCGGCTAGCATGGCATCCAGAACACGGCGGATGGTCCCGATCTGTCTTTCCCATACGCTTCCAAAGTGGGATGCGTGTGGCGGGTTAAACTTCCACTTACAACCGTGTTGTGTCACGAATGTCTCGATCTTTGTTTCGTCCAATTCTTTCAATATTCTAGCGACGCCTTGTGTGGCTAGTACGGCTCCACAGAGCTCCAGACGTAGGATGCTTGTAGTCTGTAGGGGAGCAACCTTTGATTGGCCAAAGACAAGGGGCGTGGCTACCTCTGCACTATCGTTGACTAAGCGTAAGTAAACGCAGGCTCCTATGGCATCTTTACTAGCGTCGGAGAATGCGTGTAGTTCTGCCTGAGCGACTCTACCAAAATCTGCAGGGTGGTAACATCGGGGCACTGTGACCCTTTTTAATTCGGCGAGGGAGTCTCGCTATCGTTGGCACTTTTGTAGGAGACTGTCTGGGAGTGGGTCGTCCCATCCTAGGGTAGCATTGTTATTCTTCCCTCTCCCCATGCTGACTAGTTGTTGGAGTAGAAGTTTGCCTTCCAGAAGTACCGGAACGGCCAAGCCAAGTGGATCGTATACTGCATTCACGACTGAGAGGACCCCTCTACGGGTGAAGGACTTTCTGGGTGAACATACTTTGAAGGTGAAGGCATCTTTTGTTAGGTCCCAGTATACTCCGAGTGAACGCTGGGTGGGGAGACTATCTTGTCGCAAATCAAGGTCGCGGATGTCTTTTCCCCTATGTTCTAGTGGGAAGGCTTCCATGACCTCTACGGAGTTAGAGATGACCTTGTGAAGTCGTAGGTTAGACTTCGCTAGCATGGCCTGTGTATTGGTCACTAGGCTAATGGCTTGTTGTGGCGTTGGTGTCGAAGCTAAGCCATCGTCGACATAGAAATTTCTGCACACAAACTTCTTTGCTTCCTCTCCAAATTCCTCCTCGCCATCAGCCGCGGTTTTTCTGAGGCCAAAGGTCGCTACTGCGGGACTTGGGCCGTTACCGAAGAGATGTACGTTCATACGGTACTCCATAACTCGATTGGAGATATCGTTGTCTTCGAACCAGAGGAAGCGTAGGAAATCTCTATGTTTTGGGGTGACGTGGAAGGAGTGAAACTTTGATGTAGGGGAAATAGAAATGAACAGTGCTTTTTGTAGTTAGCTTCGAGCAGATATTCGCTAGTCACGGAATAGAAATCAAACAAAGCACGCAAACAAATTTAATAGAAAGTCATTGAAAGTTTCTTAGTGTCTCTGTGCTAAAAACAGAAGAGTTACATAAGGAAAAAAGATTAGAGTTCGTATCCGTAAACGTGACAAAAATCTATCCTATAATTAATTACATAAGAATTAATCAACCTTAAAGGTACATAAATAACTAAAGTAAATTCAATCTCAACTCCCTCAAGGCAATCCATGGATCAAGAAGACAAGGCAGACTTAAAAGAGTTGAGATTTATTTCGTCTTTAAGCACATTTTCTAGGCCGTTCCACATGACTGCTCCCCTATAGCTTATCAGATTCAGTACGGGGCCTTGGTACAAAAATGCACGTTGTAAAAATGAACCGTGGAGGTTGCTTTAAACATGTTCTTTAAACTCTCAGGGTAAAAATTATTTAGAGATTTAAAAACACTAATTGCGAGCTGTTTAGAGCGTTTTTGCTCAAGGGTATCCCATCTCAAGTCTTGGAGGATATCCGCAGATCTTGTATTATAATCACTAAATGTTATAATTCTCCCAGCCCTATTTTGCATTCTTTGGGGTCTGTCACACAGACCTTTTCCTATACATTCTCAGACTTCGGAGCAATAATCAAAATAAGGAGCGACGAAAGCATCATACATTTTCAGTAGGGTTTGGCGAGGCAGCAGGGAACGAGTGAAAGGCCCTTATACCTGCAGATACCTTTTTACAGATGGCATCTACATGGGATTGCCGCCCCAATGCCTCGTAAACTTCTATTCCCAGATATCTATAATTAGTCATCTATAATTAGTCATCCGAGTCAGTTGTTGACTATTAACAGTAACGTTTAAGTCACCATTTAAATGCCTTAGTCGGTAGTGGCTTCCAATTATCATATTTATTGTCTTTTTGACATTTAATGTAAGTTTATTGGATTTCAGCCACTTTTGAACCTCATCTAAGTCTTTGTTTAGTTTTTCTTCAAGAGTTGCGGGGTCATAAGCGAAAAGGGTAAGCGAAGTGTCACCAGCATACATGAGTGCAGATGATGACAGCTCGCATTCTTGCAGGTAATTTATATAAATGAGAAACAAGGGTTCAAGTACAGAACCTTGTGGGACGCCACAACTAACATGAAGATAGTCTGATAGCGTTCCATTTACATAAGTACTCTGATAGCGATTTGATAGGTATGATTTGAACCACTGAGCTGCATGCGGGTCGATACCATAAAGCTGCAGCTTTTTTTAACAATATGCTGTGATCAACCGTATCAAAGGCTTTCTTAAGATCCAGAAAGGGTACACTGTTAATTAGGTCATCATCAATATTTAAGTAGCAGTTGTTAGTAGCTTCAAGCAAGGTAGTTAAAGTAGAATACAAACTGTCCGCAAATTATTGTGAGTTAGGTATTCATAAAATTGTTTGAAAACAACCTTTTCGATTATTTTACTGACAACTGGTAGAATAGATATAGGTCTATAATTGTTAGGATCAGACTTAATATCCTCTTTATATAGAGGTAATACTTTGGAAATTTTGCACTCGTCAGGAAATTACCCACACCTAATGGATAGGTTAATTATATGGGTGAGAAAAGGCACGATTTCAGGACAAGCGTCTTTCAAAAGCCTTGGAGAACTACCATCTATGCCCATAGCCCTGTCAACTCGTAGAGAACTCACTAAACGGTGAAGAACACCGCAGTGAGTCTCGGTCAGGGTAAAACTGGACTCCGATGGCGTAATGTAGTCCTCGAATCAAACAGTACTTTTGGGAATATTATCAGCTAACCCAGGCCCAATGTGGGTAAAGTGATACTTAAGAGCATTAGAGATTTCTAATGGGGTAGTACTTGAGTTATCTTCAACATCTATTCTATTTATTTCAGTTGTTGGTAAATTGCGGCCTAATATTGAGTTAACTCCTTTCCATGATTTCTTAATATCCCCTAGATTTGTTTCGAAATATCTTTTAAAGTAGTTGATTTTTGCTTTCCTGATATCAGCATTAACATTGTTTCGAGCAATTTTAACTAACTGGTTTACTTACTCACTGGTAGCTGACCAGCTTACCGACTGGTTGCCTAACCGGCTGACTGACTGGTTGACTAACCTGGTGACTGACTGGTGACTCGCTAGCTAACTGGCTGACTGACTGGTGACCTGTTGACCTGGTGACTGACTGGTTGACTGACACAATGGTTCTTGAGTGGCTGACTAACTGGCTGACTAGCTGGTTGACGGACTGGACTGGTTACTGACTGGCCACTGATTGACTCAGTGACTGGTTCACTGAGTCATTAGTACTTGAGTACCTATCTGACTGGTTAACTCACTCGTGACCGACTATTGACCGACTCTCTGAATGACGGTTGCGTGAAATGCTCACTGACTAATTGACTGACTCCCTGGTACCTGACCGGCAGACTGACTGGTTGATTAACTGGTTGACTGACTGGTGACTGACTAGCTGACTAACCGCTTGACTGACTCACTGGTATCTGACTGGCTGACTGACAGCTTGATTGACTCACTGTTACCTGACTGGCCCTTTAAGTTGTTGAGTGCCTTGCTTGAGTGATTCACTGGTACTTAACCGGCTAACTGACTCATCTTCACTGACTCAGTGGTTCACCGAATGGTTGATTGACAGCCTGACTCACTGGCTAACTGACGTGTTGGCCGACTGGTGACTGACTGGGTAACTGTCTGGCTAACCGACTGATGACTGACTAAGTGACGGAGTGGCTGACTGATTCACTGGTACCTGACTGGCTGGCTGTCTGCCTCAGTTCTTTACTGACTGACTGCTGATTGACTGGCTAACTGACTAGTGACTAGGTATCTGACTAATCGGGTGACTGACTGACAGGCTATCTCTGGTTGACCTTGTGATTAAGGGACTAGTTGACTGACTTGCTGACCATTTGATGAGTTACTGACTTGCTGCTTGGTGACTGTCTGCCCTCCTGACTGATTGACCAGTTGACTGCTGACTTACTGGTACCTGACCCCGTGACTGACTGCTTGAGTACCTTGCAGACCGACTGGTGACTGACTTGGTAACTGACTAGGTGACTTTCTGGCTTCCTGAGTGGTTGACTGACTTGTTGACTGACTTAATGGTACCTGAGCACCTAACTGACTGGTTAACCTACTAGTTGACTGATTGGCGGGATTACTGGTTACTGAGTGGCGAGTGACTATGTGGCTAATTGGTTGACTGACTCAATGGTGCCTGATTGGCTATTTGACTTGTTTACTGACTTGTTGACCGACTGGTGACTGAGTTGCTAACTGACTGGTGACTGACTGGCCAATGCATTGGTTGACTGACT